GCTCTGAATTTAGTGGGGACCTTACCAGTGTGCTCTTTACGCCTTTTGGGAGTTTCCCAAGTTTTCTCTACATGAGCTTTCCTTGAGCACCCCCTGCCTGTTTGATAAGTGCAGGGACTGTGTGAATTCTTGCTGCTAGAGCCCTGATCTTTGTCACAAGCCTGTTTTGCTTTCCTGGGGCTGCAGAAAAGGAAATGCCTAGCCCCAGGATGACTGCCTCTAAGGAAAGGAGATCAATAGAATAGAGCCATTTACATGCTGGTCTCAGGTTTCAGCTTGATTACTTTACAAACAGACGTCATTTACATTACACAGGAGAAAGTAGCACAGGCCTAAGAGGACTGCTTTGAATGAGGAGCAAGGGAACTTTTTTCTAAGGCCAGGAATAAAATTCAGGGGCTGCCACAGACATTTATGGGGGGTGTCTGTACTCAAACACCAGTTTCTGCCACTACCTGGGAATTATCCCGCTAGTCACCCACTGTAAGAAATCTGATCTATGAGACAAGAGGTCAGGTGTCATCTGTGACTCTCCCATAGGCAGCAGTCTAGCTGGAGGTTCACTCAGTGCCATCGGATCAATCAGCCAGAGCTGAGACCACTGTCTACTAGTCTGGTCTGCCTTCATAGTCCACAGATTAGGATAGGAAAGTAGGAAATCGGCTCAGCCACTCCCTGACATTCCTGTCCGTCCGGAGGCGGGGGATCAAGGAGCAGCAGACACGGGGAAACATTTCACTCGACTTAAGACTGGTAGCCAACACTAATCACCTTTTAAGTAGCTAACAGGTGCCCAGACACATTTTTATGAGATAAAAAGTACAGCATTTAGTCAAGAATAAGAGTGAAGCACAGGTCTCCTACCTTGAGGAAGTGAGCATCAGGTCCCATGAAATTGATAAAGTTAGGGGAGAGGGGTGCCCCCTGCCTCACTCAGAGGCCACGGTGGCCTGAAGAAGCAGGCTGGAAGTCAGAGACAGAAAAAGAGACACTCCTCATGGGTACCCAGTTGGGCTGTCGGGGTCTGATTCCAGACACGCGGACCTTTGAGAAGCCGCTGAAGTGTAGCCTCAGCCTAGACTCTTGCAGTTGCCCACGGCTTTCCTCAGACCCTCGCATCCAAGGAGATGCCTGTAAGTCCAGGGAAAGGAAATCCCGGGGCAAAGTACCCCTAAAAACCAAAATCAGTCAAAGGGAGAAAAAAGTTTAAAACCTGTTTATTTCTCACAAACTGCAGTCCCAGTCCATCTCTCTTCTCTGCTCCAGCAGCAACCACACCGGCCCTCCCCCTCACCTCTCAGATACAGATAAGCCCTCTGTTACTCACGTAATCACCCACTGATATGGAGATGAACTTCTCAAACCCCTGAGGAAAGATGCAAATACACTAAAGCCATACTTCTTTCCACCTCTGAACGCCTATTGATATGCAGATATACTAAAGCCAGGCAAGATATTCTGGAAATGTTTCAATTTTACCCACATGCCTCTGAAAGGGAATCCTGGCCTCCACAGGTGACATTCCTGGCTCCCAAGGGAGATGGGGGATCCACTGAGATGCAGGGGAACCTCTTGCTCAAGACTTTGAGATCGGCAGTCGGGGTAGTCCCATTTAAGTGGCTGACAAGCGCCCGATGTTGTGTGCCATAGATGGCTCCCGGGGTTCTTGTTCACAATGCTGAAGAATGAGCCTCGCAAACACTCAAGGTAGGAGAGCAAGGTACAGGCTTTTATTTAGAGATAATGTGAGAGGACAGAGCTCCTGGCTCATGCCAGGAGGGGACAGGAGAGTGCATAGTGGTGTGTTGTCTAGGGAGTTTTATAGGCAGTTGAGGATATTTGGGAACGTGAAAAAGTTTAGGGGTGTGGACTTGTTAAGTGTCCCTGAATATTAAAAATTGACATAAGGAATTTCCTGCCTTGATTTCTCTCTGGGACACCAACGTCTTGGTCTGGGAGCATATCAAAAGGCTGCCTGCCCAGCCCCCAAGGTGGGCTGAGGTATTGTCTATTTGCTAAAGAATCCTACCTCTTGAACTTCCTGGGTGTTAAAATGCAATCTTATCTTTACAGTGGAATTCTTCCTGCCTTTTACTATGCCGTCTACAGCGGGGTCTGCAGCTAAATGAGTTGCTCAGTTTGCAAAATCACCTTGTCAGATCTGAAGGAGGAAAGACAGCACAGAGGCCTGGGCCTTTAGCATGCTAAAGTGAATCTTACACACAATTACAAATGATTAGCATAATAAAGCATGTGTTACTCTTCTTTATCTGGGGAATATTCACTGATCTCACTGAAGAATGATTCTAGAGCTTAATGTTCAACAGTTTTAGTGGAGGGGTTCCTTGCACATAGACATTGCTCTGACTGAAAATATCCCACCCTGCCCCCTCCGGAGGCCCTCACCCTACTCTGACACATCAACCATCCCTGTCTCATTATCATACCATGTCTGCCTATTCAACAATAAAACTGAATAGTTTAATACATATTTGGCTTACAGGGTAAAATAAACCTATATTACATAATGATTTTGTATAATTATGACCTTTAAATGACTCTATAGCATCTTACTTGCTGATAAACAGTGACTGCCATGGGGGAGTGGTGAGGACTTAATATGGGTGAATGTCAAAAACCACAATGTTGTTCATGTGAAGCCTTCATAAGTGAAAGGGTATCTTGCCGTGACCCTCCTTACCCAGAATGACTCAGGAGACACGGGCCCACGCAAGAGACTTTATTATCTGAAAGAGAGAGTGACTGCCCCAGAGGGAGTGAAGAGAGAGAGAAGCAGCGTGGTGCAGAGCGTTGTGCCTTTTATTGTGGCAGATCCTCTAGGCCTGTTGCCTTGGGGGAGGGTCGGGATATTTAGAGATAAGGTGGAGTAAGCCCCAGGCAAGCCCAGGCATAATTTTCACCAGGTTATGTGCTTGGGACCATGGGGCAAATGGAGGATAAATTACTATATTCTTACAATAAGATTATATATCAATGATACTTTAACAAAAAAATAATTATATTGCCCACAAAAAAAAAAAATTATGACCTTATTTTGTTGTTATAAGTGATGTATACATTATATTAGTTTCGGGTGTGCAATGTAATGATTCAATACTTACATATATTGCAAAATAGTCACCACAATAAGTCAGTTAACATCTGTTAAAGACAGCGTGACACCCTCTTATCCATATGTTTGGAGAGGCTGTAACTTTGTACTCTGCAGTTCAAATGGTTTTTTGGCAGACAATCAGGAAGTACATCCTGGAAGTGATTATTTTCACCATCCAGAGTGCATTTCAGTTTCATAGGCCTGCTTTGAAATATTTATGGTACCATCTTACTAAATCTGAATACTTAGGACTAGAAAGCTAATCTCAAGAAAATGTGTGCTTATGTTTATATTTGTTGATATGTATAATAGCTTGAACTGAGCTGACATGTTGCCTGAGGATGTCCTTTGTGGACTCTCTTTTCATGAATATGTCAGTATTAAGTATTGTTTGCAAGTAAATCATTCTATTATTTTTAATGATTCTTGGGAAAATATTGTTTTCTATGTTTAAAAAATTCTCTCTGATCTCCAGAAAGAAAGATTATCTGAGCCAGTGCTTCTCAAACTTGCATCAGTATCAGCTGTGAAAACATAGACTGCTGTGGCCCACCCAAGTTTCTGATTGAGTAGGTGTGCAGTAGGGCCCCCATATATGTTATTCTGCAAGGTCTCACTGGTGCATTGGTCCAGGGATCACACACTTTTAAGAACCACTGACCTAAATGTAAGATAAATTCTAGCCAAAATAAGCAAGTGAAGAGAGGCAACAAAGGGCCAGGTAGTTTATTTGAGTGCAACTCCCGGGTGATGTTCCACGGTCTGGGCACTACAGGCCGGGGAAGTCACACCCAGTCAGGGAGGTGGGGGCTTATAAGGGGTTAGGAGGGGGAGGAGTGGGAAGTCATCCTAGGGGGTATGGAGAGGTATGATTGGCTAAAGGTGACATAATAGACAACTAGAAACTTTTTTTCCTTCTAAGGGGGAGGAGGCTGACATCTGGGTCTTAGTTGGCACATCAGAAGGATGGAATTCAGGGAGAGCTGTCCCCTTTCCATATAAGGTATGGACCTTGGGGTCTGGTCTGTTCTCCCCCTATGGCATCTCTCTGTTCTGTTTGCATGTCCTTGTTTTTCCTTCCTCCAGCCTAACACTAAGCAAAGGTGACCTTAAGTTAATAAAAAATTTTGAATTGGTAAACTCTGAATGAATTAGTATAGCCATACAGAAATTTACCACAGTATATAAATTTTTTCTTGAGCTTTCTTTTAAAAAGCAGTGAAGTTCTTTGTTTTATCTTGACTAATTATTGTCTTTAACATCCCCAAGTCATTCTTACTCTGCTTTTAGTTTTGCTCTTAGTGGCCGTAGGTTGGTGTTTTCAAATTGTGAGAGTGTTGTGAGGTCCACTCACAAAATGAGACATTACTACCTTTTTCATTCTCATTCTTTCACAAGTGTGCAGTGGAGTTTTCTAGCAACTGTGATGTGATAGTGTTATTGTTCTCCATTGCTGATGGAATGTGTGAAGCAAATACAAGAATCCAGCTGTCTTCTATTAAGCCAGCATTAAAAATATTTGCAAAAAATGTAAACAGTGCCACTCTTTTCACTTTTTTGTTTCGGAAAATGTAACTTAAAAAAAAGTGATTGATATTGATACATAATGGATTTATTGTTATATAAATGATTAGTAAACAAATATTTTTAAGTGTTCAGTTGTAATTTCTAATACAATAAATATTGATAGATATATATAAACAAATGGTTTATGGGGGTCCTCAATAATTTTTAAGAGTTTACACGGGTCCTGAGAATCAAGAACTTTGAGAACCAATGCTCAAAGTTCTTTGAAGAATAGTATATGATCAGCATTTTACTTAAAAAAAAAAATCCAGATTTTCTTTTGTGACAAATCTAAATTGTGTACATGTAGGATGCAAAGAAACATTCTAATTTGTTCCTGAATTGCTTACCTTGTGAAGAAGAAAACCTGAATCTCCCAGATGTGAAAAGAACTCAGCTGGCTTCCAATTTTCACAATCTTCAGGCTCTGATGGTAGGACTTATCACATGCCACATAATTTTTTAAATTCATATTTTTTAATGGCAGGGAAAAATTCAGAACCTTAAACCAACCAAACAGCCCTGCCTCCTTCCTGCTGCTTCCTTCTGTTTATATTTCTTCACCACCTAATTCCCACAAGTCTACAGTAAGAGAATATAATAGGATAAAAAAGACATAGGAAAATCCCTTCATTTAGTATTTCCCACATTTCTGGAATGCTTTCTCCGGGCAATAGTACCGTATTTCGGTCAGTCTGCTCCTAGTATTCGTGACTATTCACATTAGGGAGCTGTTTATCCAATCTAAAATACAGCTTTTGGGGCAGAGGGAAGGCAGTGTGGAACTGTGCATATTAGTGGAATGAAAATGAAGTTAGTGTCAGTTGAATTTGAATCCTAGCTTTACTACCTTCCTCACTGTTTGTGACTTAGCCAGATAACTTTACCTTTCTTAGCCTCAGTTTCCTCATCTTAAGTAGGGAAAATGATCTAATGATCCTGGCTGCTGTCCTTGACTATTTATGAGTTTCTTATCCAAAGTCTCAGTCTGAGTTCTCAGTGGCAGAACTCACATACAAACCCAGGCAGGCTGAGTCCAGTGCATGCACTTTGGACCCTCAAGTACTATTGGTACAAACACCTGCATTCTGAGTACATCTAGAGTTTCAGTGATGTTGAGGATGTCAAGTATAATAATTTGTCTAAAATTTGGATTTGAAAACTGACTAAATTAAGAGGGGAATATATATATATGAATGTATATAAGTATGTGTAGTTATTATAGATGAGTACTAACTTGCCAGCAATTATATTAATCTTTCCCAATAACAACTTACATAGAAGTATGAATCTATATGAATTATTTCTGCACTAACTCTTTATTAGATGTCTTATGAAGAGTAATTGAAGAATTGAGTTCAATATCACTTTACCTCCTTTGGTTTGGTGACTTAGAAGGGAGATTTGTTTCTTTTGTATTTTTTCCTTTGTCCTTTTAGCTTTACTGAAAACTTTTTAATATAGCTTCTCAAACTGTTACCCTTAGGACATCACCAGTAGAAGAGATCATGTTGCCGACCATGTAGAAGAGAGTGAGAAAGGTATTGATATAATGGTACAAAAAAATTGAAGAGCTTCCATCTTATAAAGAAAAATTTAGATAAAGAGGTACTGTATTTATTCTTCAGTCTAGAAAGTTACATCATTTTTAGTGAAAAAATAATCAAAAGGGGATACAAAAATATAAACAAACTCTTAAAATTTGGGATTTCTTAAAGAACTGTTTTTGGAGACCAGATAAGCTTTACTATGGCCTTTACTAAGGAGCTATATTGTTCAACATTTGACTTGTTTCATAATGTAAGTCTATTAGAAAATCTCCTATCTACCAAAAAATTGGTATGATTGTTTTTTCACTTTTGCACAGCACTACTGACTGCTGAAGAATAGTGTATTTTGACATTTCTATAGTGATTTCAAACTTTATCACTTGGAATAATGGATATTTTGAAAGCAAATCATTTTCTATTTTCTTTCTCAATGGGCCAAAGGTAAGGGCCCCTGGGATTTCTTCAGCGATTCTCTGGTCAACTGTCCAGAGACTGAAGGATGAAATTAAGAAGGTCAGTTAAATAGGGAAGGTATGCCAGGAGGTTAACTTATGCCAGCTTTAATCTGAGACAAATACAGAAGTGACACATAGAAATAAAACATACTTAAGTCTGGGATTGTGTCCTGACCAATTAAAAGTCCTATACTGTCATGAAATTACTTCTCTGAACTGAGGTGGATAGAGGATGTGTTGCAGGTATTCTGGGAAATTTCCCAGAATAGCATGTAGAGAAAAGATCAGGGAACAAACAGACATGCAGACAAGTTCCTGCCCTCCACTTCTTAAACCAGCCTTCTAAAATAAGCCCAGTTGAGGTTTGGGGCAGACTGCTACAGAAATACAATTCCAGATATTCATGTTCTTTTGGTAAATTTCTGTATAATTACTGAAATACTGACAGATGAGATGATATGAAGTCTTGCTTTGATTCAGTGAAGGAGGTTGGAGGGAAGAGGAAGTGGCTGGGGATTAAATGATGCAAGATTGGCCATTTGCGGAATACTCGAATTTGGATGAGAGTTACATGGGGAGTTCTTAACTATTTTTTTTTTAAATATTAGATATTGTTTATAGTAAAAAAATTCTGTGCAGCATACCTTACCTCACTGATACTTAGAGAATCTTGAATATTGAATATTAAGATTGATTGTTATCATACTGAAGGAATAAATGAAGAAATTATTATAAACTGCAACTATTATTGGCTACTTTTTGTTTTCCCTTAAAAAATTCTAATGGTCTTACTATTAGGATAATCTCCCTGGAGATCCAAGCCCATCCTCAGGTTTGATGACTTGCTAGGACTCACGGACTCTGTGCATAGTGGTACTCAAAGCTATGGTGTATTACAGGGAGAGGATGAAAACAGTATATCTTTTGGAGACCAGGGATTGCACTTCACAAGGTATAAAATGTAGTCTTATTTCCTCTCCTCTGTAATATAAAATGCTTTTTTTTTCTCAGCTACTTAAACACAAAGACAAAATCACAACCTTCAGAGTTAATTGCTAATGAAAAGGCATTTCAAGATCAGCTTATTGAGGTGAATTTAACATTATGTTTACTGTACTGAACCTACAAAAACACAGTTTCAGATGTTTATGTTCTTTGGGTAAAGTTGGTGAAATCCTTCTAGCTCTAAGTTCTACACTTCTTTGCTAGCCACTGAAGATCTCTTTGATTGTTAAACTAGTAAAGTACTTATTGTTAAATGTTCCAATGGGTGTGAAAATATTTGAAGTGAGCAGAAATACATTTTTTATTAGGTATCATTGATATACAGTCTTATGAAGTTTTTACATGAGCAACATTTGGTTACTGCATTCACCCATATTATCAAGTCCCCCCCACACCCCACCACAGTCACTGTCCATCAGTGTAGCAAGATGCCACAGAGCACAAATATTTTTAATCTTAGATTACAGACTTTGATGTAAATGAAGCCAAGAACATCAGAGATACAGCTATCTTATTGGGAGACAAACTGGAAAAGTCCACAATCTAAATGAAAAGCTTGATTTCTTGGTAAGAAAGAACTTTCATTGCTTTGCTATCATTTTTATATATAACACCATCTTATTAAAAATTTTGAGAAATTACCAACCTTCAAAAAATTTGCCCATTAAAATGGTCACATACTGGCAAAAGAGAGTATTGTTTGCCCACAGAAGTATAGAATTGAAGTTTGCATTTTCAGGTTTTGGAATTTTCTACATTGTCCTGATTTATGTTTAGACTAATAAAATTTTTCTTTCAAAACCCAGAAATTGACATTTTTTTCAATGAAGCACATTAAATTGTTGCATATGCTACTATCATTCTTATGGCAATAGTTGTTTGCAACAACAATGATTAAGGGGTGCTTTGGGATATAACACTCATGGTTTACTTTGGCAGGCACCTAAAGATAGACGCATCAGCACAAAAAAGAAATTACAATTATGTGACTTAATGGAGGCGTTAGCTAATGCTCTAGTGGTAATCACTTTGTGGTATGTAAGTATATCAGATGAATATGCTGTGCACCTTAAACTTATGCAATGTTTGTATCAATTATATCCCAATAAAGTTGGAAAAATGCAGGCAGATAAAACAGGAAACCATATTAGAAGAACATGAAAGTTTGTTCTTGGTATCCAGAGAGTTACAGTGTTACAATTCAATTGGATCCATTATAACGAAAAGTTGATTAACAATTCATTTTTTTTTGAGAGGGCATCTCTCATATTTATTGATCAAATGGTTGTTAACAACAATAAAGTTCTGTATAGGGGACTCAATGCACAACCATTAATCAACCTCACGCCTAATTCTCAACATTCTCCAATCTTCTGAAGCATAATGAACAAATTCTTACATGGTGAACAAGTTCTTACATAGTGAATAAGTTCTTACATGGTGAAAAGTGCAAGGGCAGTCATATGACAGAAACTTTCGGTTTTGATCATGCATCATGAACTATAAATCAAGTCAGATATGATTATTTGTTTGATTTTTATACTTGATTTATATGTGAATCCCACATTTCTCCCTTATTATTATTATTATTATTATTTTTTAAAAATAAAATGCTGAAGTGGTAGGTAGATGCAAAATAAAGGTAGAAAACATAATTTAGTGCTGTAAGAGGGCAGATGTAGATGATCAGGTGTGTGCCTGTAGACTGAGTGTTAATCCAAGCTAGACAAGGGCAACAAAACATCCATGGATGCAGAAGATTTCTCTCAAAACAGGGGGGGGGTGAGGTTCTAAGCCTCACCTCTGTTGATCCCCAATTTCTCACCTGATGGCCCCCCTGTGACTGTGCCTGTCTTAGGTTGTTCCTCCCTTAACAATTCATTTTTAATAGTTACTTAGAGAAGTCTATCATGTTTCTAAATTATTAAAACTTGTTATTCTGTGCTAGATTCATAACATACTCATTCATCTTTAAGAGAAAGGAAAAAGTCCAAGGCTGAGAAGCCTCAAAGGTTCCTTCTTTTCTTGTTCATTAGTTTTTTAAATTAAATAATTACTGACTTCCCATAAAGGTTAAGAAATGCTAGTCACTATGGAGATAGAAAGCTAAATCAAACATAAACTCACTCCTGAGGAATCTAGAAAAGAAGATAAAATACATTAAAAATTGACTATTCACAAGGAGTAAAGGAAAAGTTTCTTAAAAACGGATGCAGTGGCAGAGCCAAGATGGCGGCATGAGTAGAGCAGCAGAAATCTCCTCCCAAAACCACATATATTTTTGAAAATACAACAAAGACAACTCTTCCTAAAAGAGAGACCAGAAGACACAGGACAACAGCCAGACTACATCCGCACCTGCGAGAACCCAGCGCCTCGCGAAGGGGCTTTTCTTCTTCCCTCCTAATTACAACCCTTTAGTAGAATTAGTGCCTCATATTGAAAATTACCGAGTATCATAATTCCTCCAAGTGGTAAAGATACCTCAAGACAAATGCTGGGCATAGAAGCCACAGGGCATAAATCTGCAAAAAAGTAAAAAGCTAACCTTTTCAAAGAATATTGCTTCTCTCTTACTTACCAACTTTACATTTCCCTGTAGGGCCCCGGAAGACGGCTGGTTAGCCAGAGACGGGTAAGATTCCTCAAGGGAGGAACAACCTAAGACAGGCACAGTCGCAGGGGGGCCATCAGGTGAGAAATTGGGGATCAACAGAGGTGAGGCTCAGAACCTCACCCCCCCTGCTTTGAGAGAAATCTTCTGCATCCGTGGATGTCTTGCTGCCCTTGTCTAGCCTGGATTAATACTTAGTCCATAGGCACACACCTGATCATCTGATCATCTACATTTGCCTTCTTACAGCACTAAACTATGTTTTCTACCTTTATCTTGCATCTACCTACCACTTCAGCATTTTATTAAAAATAAAAATAATAATAATAATA